TAACTCTGTCAAAGGCCTTAGAGGCATCTAAAAAACACATAAAAACAGAAGTATTATGCCTCATGTATTTGCTTACAGTTTCTTTTAAAGCATAAATACACAAGTCAGTACTAAGTTTACCTTTAAAACCAAACTGATTCTCTGTCGTAGTTATAAAATTTTGCAGTCTTTCCAGCAAAATATGTTCAAGCTCTTTGGACAACACACTTGCCATCGCAATAGGCCTGTAGTTATCAATACAGGAGATTTTTCCAGTTTTCTCTTTGACTATAGGGACTAAGAGAACAGATAACATATGGTCAGGCAAGATTCCATGCTTCAAAAAGCCGGTAAAGCACAATGAAACTAACACCTGAGCTCTACAACTAGCGTACCTCATGTGCTCTGCTGATAGTTGTTTAGGGCCGCAAGCTTTGTTTAAAGACATTTTCTCTATAGCGAGACGGACTTCATCAGCTCTGACAATCATACCATGATTGTAGTCAATGTTGCCAACATTGAACCTTTCACTATTTACACAGTTAAAAATTCTGCTAAAGTGATTCCTCCAGGCTTCAACAATGTTCTTGTCTCCTGATACCCCATTTATAGATGCAGGTAGCAGCTGCTTACTGATACAGGAGCGTTTTAACTCCTTCCAGAACTCCGAAACATTATTATTCTTTAGTTTGTTCGCTAAGGAGTTTGCCCGCATTGTTTGCTCATTCCTTTTAATGTAGCGAACAGCATTCTTGAACTCAACGTTCGCAGCTTTCTTAGACTCCAATATTGAACCGGATTTTGGTTTACCAGCAGCTGCCCAGGCTTTATAGGCTGCTCTGGACTCAGCATGTAACGCATAAGCATGCTCACTCCATCCTGGAAGCGGTTTAAATTTTGTTGATCCTTTTTGGCAGAGGAACTCGCTGGCAATAATCAAGCTGTCCACAATATTTTGATACAAAGTGCGTAAGGGCAGCCTGTGTTCCATATGTTCACAGTTAACATCTTTACACTGTAACGTTTCTTTGTGGACATTAACAGATCTCAGACTACAATCTGATAGTTTAGATTTGTTTAATTCATCATTGTTGCATTGTTTAATTCATCATTGCAAGATGCAAAATATTGTTTCCAGAAAAGTCATAATTTGGCTATTTCATGATTAGATAAAGTGAAACATCCCTGTGCGTCTGAAGCTGACCGTATTAGTTCCAGTTTTATTATTATTGAAAATGAGGGTGATAAAAGGGTTTCTGAGCAATTTAAGAGAACCAGACATTTTAATGGAAATATTTGAGACTTTTATTTTGAAACACTACAGTACTAATAAAAAATACTGAAATACTTGGAGTACAGCAGGGTTTTCTTCCTCTGGCGTTTCTTGGAATTGCGTATTTTAGACATTTTTTCTTGACATTTTGAGTTAAATGCCACTTTTGTTTTCCTCTCGTGACACATGTTTTTCCTGGAAGGTTTGATCCCAAACTGTGATTGCAGGATAAATGTTGTGTCCCTTATTCTCTATTTTCCATCCTCTCCACTTGTGACTGTTTGCTCTGAGTCAGAAACCAACAGTGGTTGATTTTTAATTCATCTTAAACTCAACAAGGTTCATCCAGGTCATATTAATGATTTTCCCCTGCTGCATTGGCACGTGGGCGTGCTCTGTGATTGTTAGTGACCCATCACCAGGACTCTACCGAAACTTGCTCTCCATTTTTCTCTTAAAGTCGAGACTTCTTGACGGTCCAGCTCACTCTTTAACCTGTAAAAAGAGTTCAACGCAGTTTTGTTTGTGTTTTATTTGTGTTATGGTGTTACTGAGTCACTATATTATTAAAGTAGATGTCTGAAGTTTTTCTCCTTTAAGGAATTATGTATGATTATTAAAAATCCCTAAAAGTGATTTTTTTTTTTCTTTTTTTGCTGTACTTTGATATAATGTAGGCAATACGTTAAAACATTTTGCTAAGCCCGCGCCTGTCTTATGCAATTTGAATTGACCACCGTTGGGCATTAGCTAATAGCATTAGACATCCGCTTACATGCAGATGTCAATCACAAGCATGCACGTGCATTTAAGGAAGTACGTAGACTGGGCGTCGTTTTTGAGCTGGTCACAAAGCTGCAAAGACACCAAGAATCATGGAGCGGCTACAACCGCCTTCAAAAACAAACAAAAAAAATACAGATTCCACGATTGCCGACTTCTACTCGAAGACAGACAAAAGTAAAGGAAAGCCCACTCGCTAGATGACGGCTGTTGCTTCCAGCTGTATCATGGAAGCAGGGGTAGGGTTTGAAAGCTGCAGTACATTTTTTCTGTCTCTAGGTGGTGTCTTCTGAGATAAAACTGAGTTTCTGCTTTAACCCTTTGATGCATGAATTATGAAATCTTCAACCATGATTTTTTAAACAATTTTTTTCATTCATCTTTAGGTGTGAATGAAAAAAAATTCATATTTACATATTTTTTGTAACATTTAATTTACACATAGTTTATTACATGTCCATCTCAGTGGACAGCGTGCATTCTGAACATGAAATATGTTGGCTTGACTTACTGAAGTCCAAATGGAGGGGCTCAAATGCAATAAAGTCTTCAACAACTGTGCTTAATAGCAAAAATAAATAAATAACAATTTTGAGTACCTGTCCACTGTAGTGACAATTATGCATCAAAGGGTTAAGCCTTTTGCACATAATTTACAACCATTCCTCATTTGACTTTTGGCACACTTGTTTATCACTTTTAGTAAAACATTTAACTAAGTTTTGATCACACATTATAAAGTTAATTAATTAAAAAGTTTTCAGGTACATTTTAATGCTTTTTTGTCCCATTTTAGCAGCCATACTGTTTACAGGTTGAGTGTAGGTACTGGAAGGAAGGAATCACTCAGCTGAGCTATAAACCAGCTTAAATAGAATCTGTCAGTTTCATGTTTCATGTAATTAATCTCTTGCTGGTACAGATATTTATTTTCTAGGCACTGGGGGTTACAGCTTCTCTAAAAACATAGTTTTCACCAGTAAAACATTCAGCTTTGCTTCACTTCATACTTCTTATCTTAGAGCGAACCATCAAACCTGCATTAGTACTTCATAAATCAGCAGCTGGACTGAGGTTTAAGGGCTGAGCAAAGAAAAATGATGTTTACAAAAGGAGGAGGAGAGATTTTAATCATCAGTCTACTATTTGGGATTTCATTATTTCATAGTTTTTTGTCCAGTTGAGAACAAGAATTCAATTTCTTCATTCTTCAAATTGAAATTTTTAGATCCAATGCTAACACACACATACACACACACACACACACACACACACACACACACAACATAGATGTACAGTCGGCTTGGATATTTTACCACGTTTTAGAGTAATAAACTGCTTGCTTAAGCCATAAACATCTAATGCCAGTGGTTGAACTTTATTTTAAAGATACAAAATTTTTAATAAATAAAATATAAATTATAAAGAATAATTTGCAATTTGTCTCTTGTGTAAAATTTATAAATATTGATCTTTTTAGAAAGCATCCGGAACAGCCTCTGTTTGCTGAAAGAGACAAGACTGGTGAGCTAACGGCTAGTCCAGCCAAAACCATCTTAACCTCATTGGCTCTGTTAAACAGAATCTCTATTTTTATGAACAGATGTCATTCAGGAGACTAGAATAGATAAGGTGAGGTGACCACAGCTTTTCCCTCTTAACACAGAAACACACTTAAAAATGGAAGCATTGTTCATTTTATGGACACCTATGGACGATAACTGATATAGGATTTTAGAAGCATGATCACAGAGGAATAAAAAGAAGCTAAGGTATGGCTCTATGTTATGAGAAAGAACATGAATAGAGATGCTACTCAGTACATGAGGCCAGTTCTCTGTTTTATGCATCAAACAACTTATGTTTGACAATTAAAGCTGTGTGATATTAGAGAAACATGTTTCCTCAGTGCAACAGTTAGCGTGTCAGTCAGCGTCCATCCAATCAGCATGCAAATACACATCACTTAGAATTAAACAGTCCGTTCTTTACATTAACAATATTGCCCTTCCTGGTCATGTGATGGGGGAAATTTGCGATATGTTGTGAAGCCCTGGTGTCAAGGTTACTGTAGATGGGCCACATCCTTGAGTATGCAGTGCCTTAAAAACTTAAATGTTAGAATCCTAAAAATAAATCATGTCACAAATAGAAGTAGCTGGGATTAAACTGCTGCTAGAAACCTAAATAAAGCAATGTTCTACTGTTCAGGCCTAATCCTGAACTCCTAAAACCAGGTGCGAAAAGAATAAAGTTGAGTATTAAACTATAAAATTGCACTCATCTGTTTTAAATTATTTAGGTTTTAACATTGTGGCTGTAAAACACTAATCTGTGCGTATTCTGATGTAGAAAATTGCAGATTATCGATTATCCTGTTTGTTTGGGTCACCGTTACACACCCTGATGCATCGGTACTCAGGTTGTGTCGCTTCATAACACATGTCATGTTCAAACTGCTTTTTTTTTTTTACTCAGAGGCTCATTTTTGTCATGTCGCGACATGTTTGGCCAACAACTGAAACTTTCTTTCTTATTGTGTTCTTCCACCTGATTTTCTTCCACCTGCAACCTGATTTCCTGCTCAGTCTCATCATTCAAGTATTAGAAAAGTCTTATATATATATATATATATATATATATATATATATATGTATATATATATATGTATATATGTATATATGTATATATATGTATATGTGTATATGTATGTGTATATATGTATATGTGTATATATGTATATATATGTATATGTGTATATGTATGTGTGTATATATATATATATATATATATATATATATATATATATATATATATATATATGTATGTATATAATTATTATTGTTGTTGTCGTTTTTTACTGTTTTACAGGATCAGACCCTGACTTGTTCCCATAACACAAACACAGATAAATACAATTTTCTTGGCTGTAAATTGAGGGTTGAAATTTGTTTTGCTGTCCCAGTTTGACCTGCAGGTATGTGCTCCAGTCGAGGCATTTGTGGGGGCAGCAACAACAGCAACGAGTTAGAAACCAGTGGCTCAAGTGCTCACTATGTCCTGTGCACCTTCGGAGTGGGCCTAATCGCCTTCGGGGTCATCATGATCGTATGGACCGTGATACCACAGGAACAGGGCACAGTTGCTGCTCCTACCTGGGCTACAAACACCACTGCAGACCCCGGGATTAACACAGAGAAGCAGACAACGTCCTCATCAGTGGCTCTGGTCCTGGTCGGCGCCGGGGTGGCTATGCTGCTCTTGTCCATTTGTCTGGGCTTGAGGAGCAAGAGGAGATCACAGAACAGCGCCAACGAGGCGGAAACGCTGAGAGACCCTTTTATGCAGCGTGTGGCGGGGCAGGAGCAACAGACGTGAGTTTTGTTTTATGCTTTGATGCCAGATTAACTGTAAATATTTGAAAAAGAAGACTTCATGTCAGTTCCCTATTTTACTCTTTAGCTTCCCCTGCTGGACAACATTCATAGTGGTGTTCTAGTGTTCCCCTAGTTCCAGTTTTTTACATTTTGGAAAGAGTAACAAAAAGACTCACTTTGATATTGTTAATCATTTTTATAATAAATTTTTCTTCCAACACATACTCGGATTTTTTATTGTAAACAAACCAACAAAGAAAAGGCACTAATTTTTGCTCTGAGCTTCTCCCTTCATGATTTTAGTCAATAATTTCAACAAAATGTGAATTTAGTCTTTCATTTTCACAAAATACAATTTTCAAGAAGATTGCCTAGTTAATATTATGTCCACATGTGTTTTTTGTACTAGATGGAATGATTTGATCAATAACAACATAGGATTTCATTGTCAAACAGTTTTACTTTAATGGTTTAGAATCTCTGAAAACACGTTTTTTTATATAAAGGAGACAAAAACGAATTTGACAAATCTGCAAAGAAGTATAAATACTAAAATGGTCCACGAAACACTCACTCCACCCCACCGGTATCTTCCCTGAGGCTTATCAGCCAGAACCGGAAACCCACATTGTTGAAGCAAACACGATGGCGCTAAACACTAGTTGCCATTTTCTAAGTTCAAAAGTCTTTTGTTGTCCGTGACTTCAAATGGTGTTTTTCTTTTTGGGACTCTGGAAGTTTGTCCTAAAGTTGAGGTGGTAGTAGCTGGCTGTTTCTCCTTACTGGGTGGAGAACCTCTCACACCACTGGTGTTCTGCTGCTAAACAGTGTATGAGGGGAGGACCCAGGGAAGTGTGGCAATTCGATGACACAGACTACTGGATGTTACTTTCAGTCTGAAACTTGTTATTGGCAGTTTTTAGACTGATACCTTTTTTTTCTTTAACTCTCCACAATATATTTATAGCTATACTATGTTAGAACGTTGTTATGAAGCATAAAAAAAATGTTTTTAAGCTAATTTGTTTTCCAAAGTTGCCTTTGCAGCTTGCACTTTCAGGTTTGGTCCAACTTTTTATATGTAGCTGCACTTTATTAAGTGTGTGCTAAAATGAAAGTAAACCTGTGTTCTTTGTATACTTGAACTTCAACTTTGCAGCAATGTTCTCATATAATACATAGAAATTAAATGTTAAGGTTTTGTTAAATGAGCACAAAAGATGGGTTGTGCCGTTGTTTTGCTTTTAAATGCAAAAAAGTGGAAAGAAATTTAAAAATTAAGCTTGGTTTCTAATTTACAAATTTCACATCAAATCCAAGAAACTAAGTTAGTTACCTATATTTTATCATCTGTAAACAATGCCTTGTTTTTGCAAATTTAATCAGAATTGTTCTTCAATGCAACAACCAGGCACACAGAGGAAGAAAGCTGCATCTAAAACCCTGTACATGAGCCAAGCATCACTAAAACACAGCTAGCTGCTATTAGCAGAGATTATCAGAGGTGTTTAGGCTGCAGGAAGCTGAAATTGGATTTCGGAGCTGGATTAAATGACAATGAGTTTAAAAAAACAAGGGGACTCATGCTTATAGGACGTGTCAAATCAAAGAAACTGAACTCACACAAATCCAGATGTATCAAACTCCTCGTACATGGATCCAAACACATAGTCATGAATGATCAGTCCCCTACCTGTTGCAGTACACCTCACCATAATGTTAGCTTGCTCAACTGAAAAGCATCTTCAGATAGTGCTTTAAAGCTATGTGTCGCTCTGGTCACATCAGGAAGACTGGCTCTAAATTGTGCATAAAATTAGGAATTCGATTTTGTTCTGTGTTGCTTTTGTTAGGCGGGGGAACACTTTACAATAAGGGTCTCTTTATTAACATTACTTTGTGCATTATTAAGCATTAACAAAGGGTCCCTTTATTAATGTTACTTGGTGCATTAATAAGCATTAATAAACAAAGGGTCCCTTTATTAACGTTACTCAGTGCATTATTAAGCATTAATCCCCAGTGAGTCGTGGAGGATGGCTGCTTATAGTGAGCCAGGATCCTCTGGAGGTTTCTTCCTGTTAAAAGTGAGTTTTCTTCTCCACTGTCACTAAATGCTTGCTTGGTATGAGGACTGCTGTAAAGTCACTGATACTAGTCAGTGACTTGATGCAATCTGCTGGGTTCCTTATATAGGAAACTTTTTACTGATTGGCTTAATGAACTGAACTGTATTGGAATGTTTACTGTGTGAGGTGCCTTGAGACGACTCTTGTTGTGATTTGGCACTTGATAAATAATAAACTTGAACTTAAATAAACAAAGGCTCCCTTATTTAATGTTACCGTTATTGTTAACTATTAAGTTTCCTTAAGATTAGGACAAAGGGCCAGGTGTGATGTCTGTTTAGTAAACATTACATAATATTTTAGGCAGTTGTTGACATTTTTTGGTTTATTAATGCTAAATAACATACTAAATAGCATTAATAAAGGGACTATTATTGTAAAGTGTTATCTTTTTTTCTTGTCTTTTTCCAACAGAGTGGACCCAAATGCCTACAACGTGCCAAGCTACGAGGAGGTCATCGGCAGTGAGGACTACCCCGTCCGCCAGAGCAACCTGAGGCGGAACAATACGCTGCTGCCATCCTATGAGGACATCATCGCTGCCGTGGAAAACGAGAGAACAGAGCCCACCAACGCTCCCAGAGAGGACGCCCCTCTCAATGATCAAACGCCGACTTCAGGTCAACCCACCGCTGACCCTGCCGCTGATCCCGCCAGCCTCGCTCATACCCCCAGCATGCCCACACGCAGTGGCAGCAAAGCCAGCCGCTTACTGAAGCCCCTCCGTGTGAGGAGGATAAAGTCGGACAAGCTGCACCTGAAAGACTTCCGGCTCCAGATCCGCAGCCCCACGCAGAACCCTGTGACCATCGAACCCATCACTCCGCCCCCACAGTATGACGGCAAGATGCCTGAACTGCAGTGACCCCTGTGACTCTCCACAAATGGTACACCTAACCAGAACATCTGATGGTTTTACAGGACTGGTAATACTTCTATGTCGACGTCTCCATCAGTGAGCAGCAGGATATGAAGTGTGTGAGTGGCGTATTTATTCAGTCATGAGACTTTATTACTTCTGTGTAAAGGGAGGTGAATATTTTTATTACAAAAGGACAACATTTCAGTTTTATTTATTAGCCTAATTAAATATCCATCTCTCCATATCTGCTTAGCAAATAATAATAAACTGTGCTAGTTTAAGATGAAAGAACGAGTGTTTTAATGTTTATTTACAATATTTTCATTAGAACTGAAGATCCGCAACTGACAAAATATCATTGAAGTTTATGATTTAGGAGTTTATTTTGGTGTTACTTTTTAAAATACCTTTAAATGATCGAATATAAAATAAATATGGGAATAAATTATATTTAAAATCTAAAAGGAGTTGACATCTGCTAATTCAATAATAATGAAACCCATTTGCTTCAGTTTATTTTATACGGTTAACACATGGTGTTCAAACGCATTATCTGTAATATCTTATTTTTTATTGGTTTGGTGTTCAAACTCATTATCTTTTTTTTTTTTTTTTTGCAGATTTGAAGTAGGTTTGTTATTTTAAAGTAAGAATCCCTTAAAAAAACAAACTGATCTCATTGATCTGAAATTGATGTTCAAACTGCTTTTATTTTCTTTTAATTATCACATGATTTTGTTTTAATGTGAATGCTGTTAACTGGTGGTGTATTTTCCTAGAAATGACTGTCGTTGTCATTTTACTTGCTGGATAATAAAATCTAAGTGTTAGTTATTTATATTTTCATTACTTATGTTCTTTGCAACAATTCTTAAGCTTCTTTAGTTTTGTGCATTTACCGCCGTCTAGTGGGCAAAATAGAGAACGGTCAAGGTAGAATATTTAGGCTTTTTATGCACAAAACAATTTCTGCTAGCAAAGATCTGATGACTTCTGGTGGCAGAAAAAAGTGTTCATGTGTGAAAACAACCTGTTGGTAGAATGTTGGTTTAAAAATATTTAACAAGAAAAATCTCAAGTTATTTGTTTCACTACTTTAGCTTAAAATCAGCATTTTGATGTGTTGACATTGTGTGAATCTGAAACTAAGATTTAATTCCCTGCGTTTATTTCTGCTTCACCATTTGTGTTTTATATATAATAAAATTTTGAAAATACCTCTAAGTTTTTAATCAATTTTATTCCCCAGCAGTTTTATTTATTTCTACTAAATGTTGACACTTTAAATGAAACAGGAGCTCTCTGCATGGCCTTTAAGTATTTTTAGCTGATGTCAATTTATTTAAATTGAACCTAAACTTATGTTAAGCATACATTTTAATTTGACATGATAAACATAAATAAAAGACAAAACGTTTTGGAATGATTGTGAATATATTCTATTATATATTTTATTTTAAATGTCAATTGATTTAAAAGCAAATCTTTTTGAATAAGGACAACAAATCTAAGTTACAATTAAGTTGGCAGAATATTCGTTTAAATTTAAAGGGGCATTATGGAAGTTTGACAGCTAAAACATGTATAGAAATAATAACTTTCTTCTTCATACATTCTCCTGCAATGCCCTGGTCCTGTAGAATGAGCCCTGGCATTTTTACTGTGTTTGCCTGTTATTCTGTAAAATCACAGAAAAAGAGAGCTGCTCGGGTCGAGCAGGCTGCTTCATGCGCGTTCACGCTCAGGCATAGCCCGTAGCATTTGCTATCAGTAGCTCTAGCAGCAGAGTGTGAGGTAGTGCCAACTCAGTGACTTTGTCGCTGTTCCTAACGTCTAGTGATGAACCTAGCTACATTTCTGAGGACCCTTAGCTACTTTCTTCTAGATATTTCCTGCAAATTAGCAACAAAATAGCCATTTTCGCTTCGAACCGTTCTTTGGTTTGACGTTGTTTCAGCTGTCATCAAGGATATAAAAGTTACAGATACTGTGAATGTTACTAGAGTGTAACTCACCTTGTAAGATGTCTGACTCCCATGCAGAAGACCTGGGTTTGATTCTGGGTGTGAACATAGTTCATTTAGAGTTTCTTTTTTTTACATTAATGGTATATTTTTTTACATTAAGATGCCCAAATTTTTATTTGAGACTCGAAGAACGGCATTGAATTCACAGATAAAAAAAGATGTGGGTTCAACTTTCATTATGGAACAATTTTTCAAGCAAGGGAAGGGCATGATCTGAGCATGCAGGAGGACTGACCCATCTTAAACCTTTGTTGGCTGTGCTGCAGAGAAAGGTACAGAACCAAATTATTTAATTATTTAGCTGCGCGATCTCCTGTCCTCCGGGCCACACACACACACGGGACTGTCTCAGCTGTTATTTTCGTTGAGTGTGCACGTACAGCATGCGCGCCTCCTGCACGAGCCTACTATTGAAGCTGCCGTTGCGCTTTTGGCCTGAGGGGGCAGTCGCGAGCATAAAAATTCAAAAGTCCGTAAAGTCCCTTTAAAAAGTGGTGAAAACTGAAAACATTTGTATTTATGTACTGAATTAATAATTTAAGACCTTTTAAATTAATTTATAAATATAAGTTTAGAACCCTGTTCAATGCCAAACTACATTAGCTGCTAATTATGTTTAAAACCATTTGTGTTTATCAAACAATGCAGAACACAATACTTTGAATTAAATAAAAACCTAATGAAAATCTGCATAATTTTTGCATAATAATGGGTAAAGTTTCAAGTATTTGCAACAGTTTCTGCAGCAAAAATTATTAAAGCTGCAAGCAGCATCGTTCGGCCCTCACAGCTCCGCGCCTCTCCGGCCTGGCCGGCAGCCTGGGGCACCCAGGCACGTCTGCGGAATAGAAATGTCGACCACCCTGACACCAGAAACCGCGAACGGTCTCCTCGTTCGCACCTCCCAGCATTAAATTACACATCCCACCACTAGGGGGATACTCTATGGTAAATTGCCTGTATTTGATATAGCACCTTCTAGAGTCCTCGGACCCCTCATGGCGCTTTACAACACAATCAGTCATTCACCCATTCACACACACATTCACACACTGGTGGTGATGAGCTACAATGTAGCCACAGCTGCCCTGGGGCGCACTGACAGAGGCGAGGCTGCCGAGCACTGGCGCCACCGTCCCTCTGACCACCACTAGCAGGCAACGTGGGTTAAGTGTCTTGCCCAAGGACACAACGACAGCGACAGACTGAGCGGGGCTTGAACCTGCAACCTTCCGATTACGGGGCGAGCACTTAAGTCCTGTGCCACCGTCACCCCATTTGTAGGGGATACTCTATCTTTACCAAGTTTAATGCTATTCTGACCAAGTATTTTTAAGTTATTGAAGGTTAAAGTTATCTAGGGGGCGCTGTGACCAACTACAGAAAAATCCCATTGAGGTCAGCTTTGGTTAACAAAGACGGTTTTCTGTTATTTTGGCATCAATCAGACATTGTGTGTGTGTTATCTAGAGCCAGAGAGCCCAAAGGGGGTGGAGGTACAGGGGTTTGAACCAACAACCACATCAACGTGTTTGGTGCAGTCATGTGGTGACACAAGCCAAGTTTAATGCCATTCTGACCTTGTATTAGGAAGTAATCAACTTTTATTCTTATCTAGGGGGCGCTGTGACCAATTACATAAAAATTCCATTGAGGTCCTCTTAGGGAGCAAAGATGGTTTTGTGGTAGTTTGGCATCAATCAGACGTTGCGTGTGCTTTCTAGAGCCAGAGAGCTGAAAGGGGGTGGAGCTAAAGGGATTTGAACCAACAACCACATCAATGTGTTTGGTGCAGTCACGTGATGACACAAGCCACGTATAATGCCATTCTGAAATTGTCTTTAGAAGTTAATGAAAATTGAACCAATCTAGGGGGCGCTGTGACCATTTACAACTAATTCCCATGGAGGTCATCTTTGGTCATCAAAGATGGTTTTCTGTTAATTTGGCATCAATCAAACATTGCATGGGTCATCTACAGCCCAAAGGCTGTAAGTGGGCGGAGTTAAAGTGATTTGAAGTAGTGAGCACATACATGTGTCGATTGCAGTTGCGTGATGACTCCCACCATGTTTGATACCGTTTGGAGCTTTTTTGTAGAAGTTACAAAGGTTTTATTGTATCTAGGGGGCACTGTCCCAAATTTAGGAAAATATCCCATGGAGCAGTTTATAGGTTGACAACAATCATTTGTGTGCAGTTTGGTGTGAATTGCATTATGCATGTGTTATTCAGGGCCTAAAATCTGTTAGGGGGCGGAGCTGAAGCGTTATCAACCAATGAGCACAGGATTGTTAGAGGTGGCATTCTGTGATGACATATAGCAAGTTTGGTTCTGTTGCGACCTCGTCTGTAGGAGTTATTACAGTTTTAAAGGTATGTGGGGGGCACTGTGGTGATATTAGGCAACGTTCACCAACCGTTTGTGCATCATTGGCTAAAGAGTATGATTGTTGGATGCCGTGTTCAGTCTCGTGTAGATGGGAGGCTGTTTGTGGAAGGTACGGTCAAATGTAAGGTAATGGCGTCATGCCAGAATTCACCATGGCATCAAAGCCCCTCCCTTTCTGGAAAGCTTTCAGAAATGAATGGTCATGACAGCATCATGAAGACAGCGCATGACCTAAGTGTCATGTTGACTCAATTAGAGGGGACAAATATAATCATTTCACCATAAAACAACAGACTTCCTGTTGTCAGGGGGCGGAGCTTAGGTGATGTCAGCTGTCCACATTGTCATTGTCTTGAGATGTGGTCAGTGATCACACACACAAAGTTTGTTATAGATCTGATAATGCGCATGGAAGTTATTACGTCAAAGAATGTAATGGCGAAAGGTCATAGTTTGAGGCTTAGCCACGCCCACACCTTTAAACTTATGTAAAATCCGACTGTTGAATTTTTTCCCCTATGTCTTTTTGTGTGTGTGTGTGTGTGTGTAATGTCTGGCTGTGAAGCAAACAGAATTGATGTCTGAATGCTGGTGACAAGCCTTACAGATTTACTCTCAGGTGGAGCATCAAAGCGTCTGCTTTTAATGTCACGCCTGATACTTAAAACTTTATTGTTATTGTTTTTGAATGCTTTTTAATTCTGACCAGACATGGAGACAGAGGTGAAAGAGAAAGGAAGAGACAAAAGATTGGGGGGGAGGGGTTCCACAAAAATAAACAATAATGAACAAGAATCTGCTTCTAGACCTGCAGAAAGAGAGAAGAAAAAGAAGCAGGAAAAAAAGGGACACAACAACAATACAAGATCAAGCTATCACTGCGTCAACTTGATGAAGAAATATATAATCAACATTGTTTAACTGAACAATCACACGATAATAAATCACAGTGCATTAAGTGCCCACCATAGCCTTAAGACCTGTGTTGAACGTGCCCAAGTCCATACTTGTGAGAGCACCATGTGAGCACCTGTATGTGTATACGCGCTTGTTTATGTAAGGTTTCCCTATAGGAGCGTCCAGTAGAGAGTGTGAGGGGCCACAAATCTGCCCCCGAAAGATGTGCAGGAGACGGAGGGAGCTCAAAGTCCCAGAGATCCAGGAGTTGCCCCAGAGCACAGGAACTCCAGGGAGGCTGCAACCAGAAAAGCCCCCGCCCCCCTCGAGAGGCGCAGAGGATTGCCCCAGGGGGCCACAACCAGCAGCTGGCAGAGTCCCGGGAGATATCGGCGGCAAGTCCACAGGCCCGCCCGCAGCCTCCCACCCCCAAGATGGCCGAGCCCGGGACCCAATGACCCGGGACCCAGGGGCGACCACCCCCGCTGGGGACCCAGCAGAGCCCAGGGACCCAGACCCCACCAGGCAGCCACCGGGATTGGTCAGGCAGATGCCAAAAATCTTAAACTCCCTGACCCGGGAGCCACGACCCAGGCAGACCAAGGCACCGCACTCCACACCAGGTGTGGCAGGGAGAGGGGAGACGAAGATCTATATCACCAAAAGAAGTCCCAGGAGAAGGGAGGAGTCAAAGGCCCCACCTGACATACACAGTCATACACAAACACGGTCACACACTCCCTCCCTCATGCTCACACATACACACACACAACCAAAGACTTACAAAAATGCACGTCGGACACCCACTCATGCTCCCCATACATACCCTATTCACTCTGGTCCCGGTACTGCTGCACATGGGGTACAACCATTACCGGTTCCAAGAGTTCGACCCTTTCTGCTGGGGTGCTGATGAGCAGGCTCCCCCGCCCAACGCTGAGCACAGCAATCCACCACCCCAGACCCCAACTGGATGGCCAGATCTCCCTCCTAGCCTCCAGCCCCAGGAAGCCAAGCGACAACAAAGGTGTGCTAAGACCCCTAGTCTTCCTCCGCCTGATCCACTATGGTGTTAGTGAGTGTTGATGAGGTGTATTCCATGGCTGTGGTGAGCGGGCAGTGCGGGCATCGGCTGGCCTATGCCAGCTGATGTCACCACAGCACCCCACTTGCACCCACAGCCCTCAGTGTCTAAGTGCAGTTTAAAATTGGAAGTGGGCACCGGCACTTGGGATAAGGCTGAGAAATCCCCCTGCCAAATGCTGTTGGATGTGCTCACTCCCAAGGCCCTAAGTGTGTGTTTGCGTGGAATGTCGTTGGTGGAAGTGTTTAAGGTGCAGATAAAATTGGGGGGCAGGTTGCCACAGGAATGCGGAAATGGGGTCCATACCCGCACTCCCTGACTTGTCCACCCCCCAAGGTCCTATGTGCATGTTTGTGTGATGATGTGAGGGAGCAGGAGGAGAGAAATGTGTGGGGATGGGGAGGAATAGCTGGATGGGCTAGCCCTCCAGGGAGCCAGCTCCCTCACTGGCCCCAATAGGCACCTCTGTTGTCAAAATGCCACCCAGAGCATGGAGACCCCGGCCCATCCTGCCAGGGCCCAAAGCAGCAGCATCACAGAGCCTCACAGAGTCCGAGGGCACCAACCCAGCCCCACCCCAGCAGAATATCTTCACCCATCCCTGCATTTGCACAACTTCCGGACTATAAAAGACATAGGACATCCAGGTAAGGTTGGGTCCTCCCCCTCCTGGACTTCCCCCTCCCCTGTGATGGGACAGCAGAGGAGCCAAGGTCTACCTGAGGCCCCTGAACCCGAGTCAGGCACTGCTGCATGTTCCTGCCTTTCCCCTATGTCTTAAAAGTATATAGCAGAAGTTTGAAGGTGATCGGTGAAAAGGGTGACGGGGCATCATTGTTCAAACGATGTGTGCGAAAACCAGTAAATCAAGTACTTGGACCAAAATGGCCGACCTCCTGTGCGACTCTTTTAATGGTCCTAGGGGGCGCTATTTAAGAAGATAGGCCACGCCCACCGGATTTTCACATCAGATTTTTGGGGGGACGGACTAGGATCACTCACCAGAAATTTCGTGGCGATATCATGAAAACTGAGGAAATGAGAGGCAAACGTGTTTCCATGGTGTGATGGCGAATTTTGCCATGCTCCCAAAGCCCCGCCTTTTTTTGAAACCTGCCAATACAGGACACCAAGTGACCCCAACTTGTCTACAGCTATTTGCCAGAGATTGCTGGTGATTGGGTGAAAGGAGTCCAAACGGGAGCTGTGAAAAAAAGAGTGGCATGGAAACAGGTCAAAGTTTTAGGCTTAGCCACGCCCACACCTTTATACTTATTTAAAATCCGACGGTTGAATTTTTTCCCCCTATATCTTAAGAGATAGCAGAACTTTGAAGGTGATCTGTGAAAAGGGCGCCGGGGCATCACTCTCCAAACAACATGTGCGAAAACCACTAAATCGAGTACTTGGACCAAAATGGCCGATCTCCTGTGCGACTTTGCGCTTGACTCCAAGAGACTTTTTTGTATGTCCTGAGACACTCCATTAGTGTACCAAATTTTGTAATCCTCAGTCAAAGCATGGCATGGGCTGACAGTTTTAATTGTCCTAGGGGGCGCTATTTCAGAAAATAGGCTACACCCACCAGAATTTCACATCAGATTGTTTGGGGGACTGGACTAGGATCACTCACCACAAGTTTCGTGGCAATATCTTTAGAAATGACGAAATGGGAGGCAAATGTACGTCCAGGGCAGTGCGCCTGACTTCGCCGCGCCGCCACAGCCCCGCTCTCTTTTGAAAACTCCCATAAGGTGAGCCAAGCAACCCCCACTTGTCTTGAGTTACCAGCTACAAATTTGTGGTGATTAAGTGAAATGGGACGATTTGGGACCTATCACAGTAAAACTTGACTTTTTTGGTCCTGAGGGGGCGGGGCTTGTGTGATGTCATCATTCGACCATTCAATTTAGTTCGTGGGTGGATGACGAATGACTACAGAAATTTGTATAACTCTATTCCATTCGGTTATGAAGTTATAGCCATTTATATTTTTGGGCGAGTAGTCGAACTTCGAGGCCTGGCCACGCCCCCTCAGCATATACAAAAAATCAGTTTTGTTTTTTCTATTTGACCGCCCATCCCTTCTGAGCAATTTCCCACAAATTTTGAGATGAAACGGCCAAAACGGAATCGCCATTTCAACCCAAAATGGCCGACTTCCTGTTTGATATTGACCATGGTTGCAAGAGGCTTTTCTGTGCGGACTGTTGAGTACTACAAGTGTACAAAATTTCATAACTGTACGATAAACTAAGGTTTATGGAGAGGGTATTTTTCACATTGTTGGGAGCGCTATTCAGCCATTTTCTTAGCGATTTTTTTGAGACATTTAAAATATCAAGTTTTTCACCAGGCCTGACAAGTTTGCAAAATATTGTGAGTTTTGGGGTATGATAAGGTCCCCAAAAAGCCATTCAAAGCGGGCAAAGAATAATAAATAATAAACAGAGCAAAAACAAGAGTCCTTCGCAGCGCTTTCGCTGCTCGGGCCTAATTAAATAAATAAACTGAGTGCCTGTAAAGTCGTGAGTTTGTCTTTCCAGTCTCAACTTCATCCCCAGGAGCTCCACCCTCGCCTCGGTTTAGATTTTCTTTTCTTTCTTTCTTTTCTGCGCAGCTGCCATGAAGAGCGGAGGGAGGAACAGCTGGCTGAGGGAAGAGCCAGCCCGGGGAGTCAGTCACATTCCTGGCTGGGATTCAATGACTGAACCAGACACAAACAAACAGAGGGAGGGATGGAGGGAGGGAGGGAGGGAGGGAGGGAGGGAGGGAGAGAGAGAGAGAGAGAGAGAGAGAGAGAGAGAGAGAGAGAGAGAGAGAGAGAGAGAGAGAGAGAGAGAGAGAGAGAGAGAGAGAGAGAGAGAGAGAGAGAGAGAGAGAGAGAGAGAGACTCACACTGAGGGTGAGTGAGTGAGTGAGAGGGGAGACAGGCTGAGTAGCCCGACTGTGCAGACGAGGCTTATTTCGGGCGCACATTAGGAGTGCGTAAAACCGCGGGAGTCTACTGTTACGCGGTGATTGTACGCTAGATAATTCCAATTCGAAGTCTCCAACTTTGGCGGCTTTGTTTCGCTTCCTTTTCTAGGAAGTTCCTTGTGATTTAAGCAGCTTTCGGTTTTCTGAATGGACGCGCCGGGAAGCTTCTTCTCCAACATGGAAACGCGTCTCCCTGCGCGCGCCGCCGGATGCTGAGGACGCCCCACGCTCTCTGTCCCAACTCCAGCATTCACTTTGAGCTTTCAACTCGCTTCTCCAGCCGACGAACACCATGGAAGGCACCAGCTTCCAGCCCCATCCCGGACTTCAGCAAACTCTCAAGCAGTTCCACCTGAGTTCTATGCGCTCCCTCGGCGGCCCGGCGGCGTTCTCCGCTCGGTGGCACCAAGACGCGCTCTTCGGGAAGGATGGCAAATCCGTGGAGATGATGCTCTCCTTGCCGGCCCAAACGCCCCCCGTCATGTCCGGGCCACTTTTCATCCCGTCCGACCGCTCCACGGAAAGGTGCGAGACTGTTCTGGAGCGCGAGCCCATCTCCTGCTTCGTGGTCGGCGGGGAGAAGCGCCTGTGCCTGCCGCAGATCCTCAACAGCGTGCTGAGAGACTTCTCCCTGCAGCAGATCAACTCGGTGTGCGATGACCTGCACATCTACTGCTCCAGGTGCACGGCGGACCAGCTGGAGATCCTGAAGGTGGTGGGCATCTTGCCGTTCTCGGCACCGTCCTGCGGGCTGATCACTCAGACAGACGCGGAGCGCCTCTGCAACGCGCTCATCTATGGCGGCACGTACCCCCCTCATTGCAACAAGGAGCTGGGCTCCCTGGAGCTGGAGCGAACCGAGAGGAGCTTCAAAGTCTACCACGAGTGTTTCGGCCGGTGCAAGGGCCTGTTTGTCCCAGAACTGTACACAGGTCCGACCGCCGCCTGCATCCAGTGCATGGACTGCAGACTCATGTTTCCTCCTCACAAGTTTGTGGTCCACAGTCACAAGAGGCTGGAGAACCGGACAGTCCACTGGGGCTTCGACTCGGCCAACTGGCGGGCTTATGTGCTCCTGGACCCGGACTACACCAACAAGGAGGAGAAAAGCCAACTGGAGCAGCTGCTGAAAGAACTCAAAGGAAAATACGATTTGGCAGGAAAGCTGCCCAGTAAATCCTGCAGAGTAAGTCAATTTTATTGTCTTTTTTATTTTTGTTGCTGTGATTTTGTGCATCTTTCAAAAAATCTCAGTCCTGCTGAAACCATCTGCATTGATTTGCATTCATTCTGATAAATCTTCCTTTGTTTCTGATTTTTTCTTCTGTGAACCACTCACCTCTTCTCATATATCAAGTGATGCCCCTGAGGACCCATCCCATCATCTAAACCCCCTCCCCCCTCCCCCCTCCTCAGGGTTACACAAGGTCATCTGCATGATGATGAATGAACTCTCACTGATATATTTTATGTGTTTGTGAGTGTGTGTGTGTGTGGGGGGGGGGGGGGGGGGTTGATCAGTGTCAGGAGGTGGCAAAAAGGGGGGGGGGGGGGGGGGGGTTGGAATATGGAAATGGAAATGTGTGCAAAAAGAAAGGGGGGGGGGGGGGGGTAGGTTGTTTTGCGTGGGTCAAACATGATTGTGGCCAAGAGACGAGGTGGCTGATTCTTCGTCACTGAGCAGCTGTTATGTGGGACTCTGATAATGAGTGGACTTGCCTGGATGCATCACCGTGGCGCTGCTCCAGTCTGATACAAGGCCAACAAATGTCCCACACAAGGAAAAATGTTTAAAAACAACAAATCTGGTAGTGATATTTGTGTTCCAGGGGTCCTGAAAGGGAATTTATGCATTTTCCATTAACGTAGTGCACTTAACTCTTCGACAAGATCTGTGTGCAGTCGTTGCACCTGCGGTTTGACGTCTCCCTGATAGCAGCCAGCAGGTCTGGATGCATCACCTGCAACTTCTGTATTTCCTCAAAAACGCAGGGATCTGCTGCTGACACTCTTTCAGGGTGTGTGTGATGAATTGCACTCTAGGCTTCAGCATCATGGAGGCGAGTGTGGCAGAGGGGGCTGGTGTGTGTTTGCTGTGGTTCACTGTCAGTCGTGTCCCAGTTTGCAGACAGGCCCGGTCCTCCGGGGAGCTGCACACCAGCACCATCCCATACATCAGGCTGTCAGGAAAGGGCCGGACCAGGACTCTGGCTGCGCTTGGCTCAGTTTACCCATGAAATGAAGACACAATGTTATCAGTCTGCCACAGCCTCTCTGATGTCAGAGTGTTTTATTAATAAGAGACAGGTTACCTTGTCTGCTTGGATCATCTGTCTAGACTCCCTCCCAGCATGGCGTAAAAGGAGGCGGGTGCAGGTTTGGATCCACTAAAACAGTTGGGAGAAGAGTTTTCTTTTTCATTTTTCTCCCTTCTGTTGCATTGATCTAGCCATTGTCTGTATCTAAATACAGTCTGGCCATAACCCATAGACAGGACTCTTTCGTAGGGGCGGGATCTACGGTTGTCTTTCAGGCCGTCTCCGCACGCATTTGGACTGTTCTAGGACCAGTCAGAGCAACAAAGATCACGTACTCATTGCTACAGAAATCAGTCAACAAGACACACCGCCATACACAGTCAAAGTAGAAGAAGAACCTCTAGCTGCTCATGTCGCAGGAAAGCCCAAGTCTAAATCATCCAAAGTTGATGCCAATGCCACTCCGAATGAGCGCCGTTCCTGAGCCGACGCCATCTTTGTTGTTTTGCTCCATCGCAGCTCTAGTACTAAGCTGGCCTAACATCTCTCTACAACCACTGACCGCTGTGATTGGCCTGGCCTGCATTTACCCAAGCCAGTAGTAGACCTGCTGAGGCTACAATGGAACGTGACTAGACCAACCTGCTACGGTTGATCCAGATCCCTAGGCTAGCGTTGATCCACTTTGCGTCACATCCACCATGTGGTCAGTTAATGCACAGATGAGGACGCGGCAGACTCTCCCATTCAGAAAATGCAAGGTGTGTGAGCCAGGCCTTGACATGTGTTGTCAAAAGGTCGTGACCTCTGACCTTTCTCCCCGAAGATAATGACCCCAGCCAAACCCCCCATTATTTTCACACCATCCAATCGGTCCACTGGCCAGATGGCTTTCCCGTAAAGGGAGGAGAAATAAACACAACAAACATCTCCCCCAATGGCAGCTTTTGTTCGTTTTTTCTTTTTTTTTTTTTCAAAAATAACCATAAAGTTTTGTTTGAGATTCCACCCAAACTTAATGGAAATCATAGCTCACTCCTTTCCGCTGACTCTTTAGTGATTCAAATATTAACTTTTCTGATTAGCATGGAAATCTGAAAGAAAGAGGATTTGGGATTGCAAAAAATATATAAAAAAACCTTTTCCCTCCAGGCCAAAGTCAAATAACTTTGAGCATTAACTGTAAAAACAAAATCCCTTAGAAGTAAGGGGCTACGCGATCAATCATCTGAGTGAGTGGAGAGCAGAGGGGGCTCTATGTGGACTCTCTCTAATGGAAAAGATATTAAGAGCATCCAAGTGAGGACAATTTATACCATTTTCCATCCCATTGTTCTCCTCACTTGATGCAAATAGCCTCAAACCTCGAGTCAACCAAAGCGAAGGCTAAAGGATGTAGCGATTTGGTTTTATTTAAAGAGAATCATTGAATGTTAAGTCTCTTTCCTTCGGTATCAGCCAACTGTGTGTTGACCTGCTCTTGTGTGTGTGTGTGTGGATGAGTCTACTTGTGTGTGCGAGTGTCATCAGCTGCATGAGCTGGTTTTTTATTTAAAAATGAGCTCGCCATCGGCTCATTTCCATTCCCTTCTGCCTGCTGACCTCTCCTGTCCTGACCGCTGAAACGGTGGATCTCCTCAGTCCCAGATGGGGCACATCAACCCAACCGAACGGCACCGGTCACATTTAATTCAGATGTTCAGTTTTGATTTTCTGTGTTTAACTATTCCAAACTTGTCCTTGGAAGTGTCGTTCTCTGAGGAGCAGTCCCACTCCCCCCACCCCACCTATGACCAGCCCCCTCCTCCAGCCAGTGGCTGCCCTCCAGAGTGTTGTGGCCAAAGTGGAGGCGGCGTCTCCAGGCTAAGGGGTGTCAGGAGCTCCCAAGGGTTGTGGCCTTCATTCTTGCAGCGGTGACCCCATGTTAAAAGGGTGTCAGCTGGGGTTGTCTCCTGGGTAATGTGTACTAAAGACCTGCCGCCTCTTTGTTGGAGGGACGGCCTTTCAGAGGCTGTGGAGTGCAGCGGTGTCCCTCCGCTCACGCCCTGCTCCTTTAGGCCGCCGTGCGGAAAGGTCCATCACCTCCAGCCTTTCTCATGGTGGGAACTTCAGGCGTGTGAGACTGCTGTGTCACCAGTTTCCTCTTTCTGTGTTTAAAGATGGATCGGAGCCTGTGGTGGTGTCTGCATGTCTGATAAGAGTGTGGGTCTGGGAAATAATTCAATACTGTTATTAATGGACTAGCAAAAGAATTATATTCCCTTCCAAATATCTCAACAGGATAATAATAGCTGAAAATATGTTGAGTGAAAATCCTTTTTTGACTTTTTTATGAGCCTGTGTCAGTTTTTCTTTTAATCTGGGGAAATGTTTAACTGTTTGTAAGAAGTTATTATTACGCATTAAAATGTAAAATTGGAGATTATCAGTATCGGTTTTTACTCTTTTAAAGACACAACCTTTGCACTTATTATACATGAAACTCTTCAGCTATCCCCTCTTTCAAAATGTCTAAGTATGACCGATCCCAGGTTTAGTTTTTCAGATGCTTGTTGTTGTTGTTGTTGTTTTTGGGCACAACTGGCCTGATAAAGTTTAAAGTTCAAGCATGCATCAAAGAAGATATGTGATATTAGTCACCTAATATCTTTTAATTCTTCTTTTTTATGAAGAGGGGGCCCCCACATATATGAGAATCACTTTATATTGGTATCAGAAGTTAAGAATTACATTATATCTGTATGTTGTATCCTATCCTATCAGGGGAAAAGAAGCTGCTATCGAACATCCCTACTTATTAAATATAACTATGAACATGTATTTAAAATGTTTATTTAATTTCTTCTCATTTAAGAACTAAAATATGCATATTTTAGCATACATTTTATTATTTGAATCAAAGTCCGGCTTTCCAAATTACAAATTACAGCACTTCACAGAAAATCTTGATTCTCATGTGTTCTTTTGCTAAAGGCAGTGTAGGAGATACAGAATAGAATAGAATAGAATAGAACAGAACATCCTTTTTCCTGTCCCTTTGTGGAGAGATTTTGTTGTCACAGAAGAAAATCATACTCACAAAGCAGCAGAATAGGTGAGAAAAAACAGAATAAAGAGTAATTAAAAAGTAAAAAATAAACAACCAGAAAACATAATACAGAAATACTAAACAGATTCAAAAGTACTTGAAAATTCTAAATCCTGAATAGACACATTTTAGAAATAAAATAAAATACAATAAGAAATTATGTGTGGATAAAAATTATTTTAGTTTTTCAGGCGTAGACTTAAAATATTTTTTAATGATTATTTGTGATTATAATCGGTCACTCTGAGTTTTTCATGCAGGCTGAACATGAAAATAGTCTCCTACACCAATCTCCTGCATTAGCTTCTGAAAATAGACGGTGAAACTACAGGATTTGAATATCCTGACAGATCTACGTCACACTGTCGCTTAACATTTATGGACTCACATCTTGACTTGTGACGGAGAAGGTTGTTGTTAGTTTAGTTTCTAGGAATCAGCAGAAAACATCTTGGCTAGTTTAGGCTAACTGTTAGCATTAGCAACTCCACCACACAGCATTACTCCTCCAGGCTTGTGTTATTTGCGGAGATAAAACATCTACGCTGCAGAGCAAATGGAGTCAGTGGTAAGGTCGTATTGCTGGTAGCCAATCGGAGGAGATACGTCCAACTATCAGAAAATAAAACTCCAAATCCTGCCGTCCGAAGCTCAACTGTGATGTGTCAACTTTCTAGTTCCTGAAAATGGTGCACCAGTGCTTTGTTTCCCCAGAGTACACCTTACAAGGCATTCATACTTGAGACCACTGCAAATGAATTGAGTGTTCCACACCTTTAAGATGGCAGATTCAGACTAGCTGTTAGCTCATCAGTCCTGAAAGATGTAAACCCTCTTTCC